TTCGGCAAAATTAGGTAGACCTGCTTAAGTTACTTAGATGTTTGAATAAATAAGTAGGTACAATGTAAAGCGTTATACATAAGTTATCAATCACGATACATAACACAACAGTCCACTGGACATAATCCTCCCCCTATGAGAGGGTCTTGCCGTACTCACCACGCTTGGCAGGTGGATTGGCGAGAGCGTAGTGCCAGATGTTGCATTTACAGGGAACGCTGCTGCCCTTATTCCCTGGTTAATTATCCCTTTGACGCTTTTTACGACACCCACGTGTAAAATTGGGGTGATGCTATTCTAAGTCGGCATCACACGGCACTTATAAGTATATTTATATTATATTTGGATAAGAACATAAGAAAGCGTAAACCTTGGAAAGTTTAATAAAATGTAAAGCATTATAATACTCGCATTAAAGTCTCGATTTCGATTGTATCATGATCATAATGATTATATTTTTCGCAAATTATTTAACAATACCTATTACGTTATTTGGTACACCTTAGTGTGATGTGATGTCTTAAATAAAGATAAGGACCTAAGTAAAACGATTAATTCCATCGGTACCTACCTGCCTAATTTGTAGAGATGTTATGTAAGTAATTTCTATAATTTACGTTTATTGGAGCCCCTAAAAGGTTGAACAAATATATTCTGTATAGTACATAGATAAGACCTAATACTGCGGTAGATAATTACCTACCTGCATCTACATGAAGCGAAAGAAAGGCCGAATCGCCTAGGCAACTAGGAAGCAAACAGCCTATGCAAATGAAGCAAAAGGAAAACAAGTTGCATTGTTACACTGCAGGGGGTATCTAACCATCTCTACCTACACAAAAACTAGTAGGGGTGTAAAATGGGTACCTATAATAGAATTTTTATACATGAAAGTAAGTAGGTACAGCTCTTAGGTACATGAGAGCATTTATGTAAATAATAGAACATAGATACAATATAATTACATATTGCCTCTATGTTCTAGGATTTTATATTGTTAATTTCGATAACAGCAGAAATCAAAATGCATCTAAAAAAATTAACGCAAGTCAAATACTAAGTATCTAAATTATTCTAAATGAATGAATACCTAGGTAGAATAGGTGCGTAACGAGTAGCAACTACAAATTAATAAAATTGAGAAGTCATTGTAGAGTTCTTAACGCAAAACAAACGTTCTCGTGTCGTAAGCATAGGTAATAATAGGTAGGTATGTAATGTATGTAGCAAGGAGTTGACTTATGTAGGTAATTATGGAGGTATTTTTCTTGCACTGATAAACACAGCCCACACCAACTAGCGTATAAATTGTAAATTAAACTGAAACTAGCGGCAGCTGAGTAAATACAACTTCTTTTAGTGACGGTAATATTGTATTTAATTAAGAATATTAATTGAAATATTTTGCATACCGGAATATATTTTGCATATTATTTAGGCAAATTGACGTACCTACCTCAGTTTTTCTGTTTCACTACGAAAACATAGTATTTTTAAATCTGAGATGTTGTCAAAAATGTATTTGGTGCACAAGGTTGGTTGTTATATGTATTTCGGTTTGGTTATATGCAGCCTGTGCGCAAGAAAAAGATCAATCCCATGTCCAATCCAAATCTAAAAGAAATCGCTCTAAATCGGAATTCAAAATGGAGAGAATAGGCAGTGCTTGCAAAAATATTTGTACAACATTCTAAACGAGCAATGTGTAAAATTCATAAATTCTGGAAAATTGTACGAATCCATATTTTCAGGTATTATTCACAAGCCATGGCAAATGTTTCCAACATAGCTACAGTAAGTAGTCTTCGATCTAACAGTTCTAGAGAATATTCTGTACTTAAGTAATGTGGCCACAATCCTCATGTTTTTGGGGCCGTTCATGGAATGTTTTTCACGTTCATATTTTTACGCGAAAAATGAGACATGGATGGTTCAAAAAACGGTATCAATCTCTGAAACGTAAACATAATTCAAAAGAGGATGATATTTTTCATGTTCCTGATGCTTTACTTACATCAAAGATTAAAGCGTTCCCGGAAAGGTAGTGTCATGAATGATATGTTTACAAATGCGTTCCCGGAGTTGATCAAGAAGATTGGCATTCAGGATATTTAGGATCAGGAGGTGATATCATCCGTGTATCTTCAAAACGATGGAAAAGCTTTATTTATCACTTGCAAGTGTTTATGTTTACATGATTTAAAGATAATATACGCTGACATTGACTGATGAGATGGAGAGTTACTTTCAGTATGAATCATTTCAGTATTATTGGGACGTATGGATTTTCCCAATAAAAGGTCTCATATTGAATTCGCAAATCAAATTCAAGGTTATTTCTACTTGACGATTAAAATTCTGCGAATTTTCCTGTGTGTTGGAGTGAGCTAGTTATACGGAATTGCTAACAACTTGTTACCTTCAATATAGGTAAAGCCATTTTACAATGAATTTTCCCTTATTCTGTGTACCTACCTACCTAGCTAGGTACAGGAAAAATGTAGATAAATAAAAACTACTCGCCTATTAACGTTATAAGATTAAATAAATGGATGGAATAAAACGTTGTATGGAAGTATAGCAGCTATTTTGTTTACCTACGTGGTAAAAAATATCGGGTCACTTCCTACATTTGTTATTAGGAGAGATAGGGGAGATAGAATAAGATAAGTAACGTCGATAGTTTTAAATTCGTTTTGATCTCAATAGAGTTTTTGCCTAAAAATATCCACTGGGATAGAAATGGGGCGATGCTATTCTAAAACGGAGTAACACGGTAAATGACGTACTAAAAATACGTAGAACTCATTGAACTATAACAAGATTTTGGCACGAAAGCGGAGGTGTGGTGCTTACGTCAGTCTTGGCGCGACATTTTTACAGCAAGTGCAAAAATGACGTCACCAAACCCACGCACGCAATGAATGGCAGACATTTGATTTTATTTTATTGAGCGAATACAAGTAGGTAGAGTTCTTTCGTGGTAATCGTAATTAAATTACAGTTGGGAAACTTATAACAGGAAATTATTTCATTTTTATAATTGTTTACTACGACTAGAGTTACACTGAGTTATTTCATCTTTATTGCTATAATTTTCATAAGTCATTTTTAGCAAGTGATTAATGACGTCACAAAACATTTCATTTGAGGCATTTGAGTCTGTTCTGTATTGCTTTTATTTTATTGTGCGAATGTAGAGTTCGTCGTAATAATTACATGTTGGGAAACCTGTAAAAGGAAGCTATTTTATTTTTATTATTGTTTTCTAAGTATTGCAACACTGTGCTATTTCATCTTTGTTGTTAACTTTTCAATAAAGGATATTCCTTGAAAAAATGCAAGGTTTCTTCCTCTATCTATCTAAGTTTCTAACAGCTGTACTGCTGTATACGCAAATTATGCATTCCATGGAACCTATAAAACTATTATTTCCTTACATACCTACTATCCTTGTCATTATTATATTACATACTCTATTAATTTATATAAAATGAGATTAAATAAATAAACTTCTTATTGACGAATTTGAATACATACAATATAAAGTGAATGCTTTAATAAAATATATAATCCATTCATGTTTTAAAGGTCTTGATATTGGAGAATATCCGTGGGGCATATGGAATGGACCCATGCCAATAGAGCATGTAGGAAGGTAATAAAATATAATCTAATCAAAAGATGGTGATCGAGTGCATCTAACTACTGTCTAGCGTAGATAGATGCCTAGGTACTTGATGTTAGGCAGGTAGAAACCGTGCCCATTATTTCAGTTTAATACGCAAACTTTGAGGGGTAAGTGTACTCTTTCTGAACATCTTTTATTTTGAGATCATATCGGAAATCACGAAAATCGGTACCTATTTGGTCCTTACGTAAATATACTACTTGGGTTTGGTACCATCATCACATCACTCTACTGACCACCAGAAATTGTATCTATTTCACAATTTCTCTGTCAATACCATTTGCGAGGCCGATAAAAGGTGGACTTCCGGCCAGGGTTACCTTGTTCCAATCCTTCATAGTGCAGGAAACGCGGCCCCAATGCGCGGGTCATCTTATCGGCCAACCTTAATGCACGGGCTATTTAGGACGGCATGGGTGTTGTCAAATAAGTGGCCAGTTACCTATTTAAGCCTTAAAACATCATTTAGTCATTGTCATTGAGTTATTATTTAATTCTATAGGTAGCTTAGGTTTAAATCCTACATTTCAGACGCATTTTTACTATAAATACAAGTCCCAGAACGGTGTAGTTAATGAGCTCAGTGTCATTTCGTTTGCTTGGTTAAGATATTGGATTTTCTTGGTCACAAAACTGGAAGCTTAAATATCATCCCAGCCAAATAACATCACGCCGCCAGATTTCGAGATATACCTATAAAAGAATTAAACTCTAAGCACCCTTTTGATCCACCCTTTACATTTTATGTAGGTAGGTAGTCTTTGTAAGTAAGTACTTTCGCCAGCACATTAACGTACCCATTTAAGGGGGCTACTACTTCATACAAATAAGAAGAAAAACCAGTTGTACCTAACATTCCATAGGCAAATGGAATCACACCAACACCCAACGGCCGAGCAAATCTGGACTATCATCCACGGCTGACTGAACACATCACTGGTAGAGTCGGTAGATGCTATGTAGATATGAAGAAACTGGAACGTTTGTAATAAAGAGAACTACATTTACATATGTCGACGTACCTTTCTACCTACTTTGTGCGTGCAGTTTTATTTTATCAACTTCAATGTAAGCATATGTTTTTAAACTCAATACCTACATGTATCTTTATCATATCATCCTTTGCTTTTGATTTTGTTCTGAATTGGAATTTTATTATCTATATTTAAAATAGATGGCTCTTTGGGGAGCCAGCCAGTAGGAGAATAATACACGTAATATTTTAATGTCACCCCCTCCTCTTCTCGTGATATTTTGTGATTAGTGACAAACTCATAAATTAAATAATGAGAAAATTGAAAAATTCACTAGCGACCGCGGGGACTTGAAACCGGGACTGTGGATCAACGTTCCACCGCTCTACCGACCGACTGAGCTACGGGCGCCTAGCGGACCGTAGTGAATCTTTCAACCTCTTGATGCTCGTCTCGAAGCGACGATTAAGCGACATCTAGTAGTAGTTTTTACAACTAAATACTTAGGTTAGTCCACGTTACAGTAGGAATTCAAACCATATGATGAAGCTTTTCGAGACAAGCATCAAGAGGTTGAAAGATTCACTAGGGTCCGCTAGGCGCCAGTAGCTCAGTCGGTAGAGCGGTGGAACTTTAATCAACAGCCCCGGGTTCAAATCCCGGCGGTCGCAAGTGAATTTTTCATTTTTCTCATTATTTAATTTATAAGAATAATATAGCGCTGTGAGTGCATTAAAAATCCAATACATAGTGACGGAGTCTTTCCCACTTTCGAGCCTTACGTGATTAATTAGACCTACCTTAATAAATAAAGCAGCAGAGATTAAAAAATAACCAAGATATGCTTTGACCTTTCCATGATACTGTTTGTTTATGATTATTATTGTATCTGACGAAAGATACCTACTTTACTTACAATGTTGCGCTATCTTTTAATTATTTTTAAACAGAAGAAAAATAATGATAATGATAGATAACGTTCAATGCTTGATTGATAAGTACCTAGATCACTTTTCTTTTAAGATGTTTGTAATTTCTCATTACATCACATCAGCCTATTGCAGTCTACTGCTGCAATTAGGTAACAAGCCATAAAGAACGATCTCCCGTTTTCGTCATCCAGTCACTTTTAGCGTCCTTCTTCATTCCTTAAAGAGTCTCAAGACTGCCTGAAAACTTTAGTGACGCATGGTGCTAAGTTATATGTAAGTTGTATTCAAAAAATCTTACCCTTCTTCTGGAAATAACGCTAAGGCTGAGGTAGGCGAAAGGCTGCGTTTCCTTTTAAGCCAAGCCTCTTTCAAGCTGGTCAAAGGAAGACTGTCCCTCCTAAGCGGCCAATGCACTCGAAGCTTCGGCGCACTGACAGAAAATGATCGTTTCCTATCCACCACCGGTTCCAAATCACTCATCTTCAGTTCTGTTTGACACTGGCTGAATATTAGCAAAAGCCATAAAACTAATTGAAGAAGAAATTTTCACGAAACAATTTTTCATTGCACTACACTTTGCACTTTTTAAATACCTTTGCACAAAACTGACGCGAAACGGTGTTTTCTATGCCAAGTCACGACGTTAATTATTTCATGAGTCTCATTGAAACTACATAGCCTTATCATTACACGGAGATTTCCTTTTATTTACACCAAGATAGACGGGAAAGTTATAAAGTCTAGCAAATAGTCATATCAAGTTGTGCACTGACTGATACGATAAGACTGAGAAATTTTGATTGGAGTTTCTCAAGGAGAACTAATTTCATAAAATGCGTTCAAGGTTTTCTAAGAATATGTGACATGAGATGTAGAGTACGAAATTTATTAATGGTATGATGAAAAACTTATGGAAAATGCTATAGAACAAATTCTTAAAGATCTGTATAAAGGGCAAAAATAAACTTAATCACCCTCATCAAGTGTTGAGATTGTTATCCTATGGATGGCAGATAGAGATAGATACCTACGTTTAATACCTACTTCAATGTTTCGTGAGTTTACATACTGGGGTTTGCTCCGTTTGACTTTAGTCTAGGCCTGACCTGACTAGGGTGTCATAATGCCCTTATGTAGGGTAAAATTTTACTAGTGACCGATAGTGAAAACTCAGAACCAGCTGGCGACAAGGAACAACTTTCCCCAAGGAACATAGGTCCCATAGTAACTCAAATCCCATAGCCCTCAGCTGATCGGCAATTTTGTAAGGCAGGTCCAATCTATTTTTTCATCTTTTGACTATCGGTCAATATTAAATTTCACCCTATAGAACTCTGAAGCATAAAATAAAGGATTTGGCACACCAACATCGTTGGTTAGCACAAAGATGTCATCAGAATCGAGATAAATAGCAAAAATAGTAAGATTTCACCCTATAGAGCTCTGTAGCATAAAGTACTTACTGGGGGACAACGGGCGTGGGCACGCGGAGGTGGTGGCCACGCCGAGGCCTCTCCGCGTCACTGTCGCTCGCCTCGTGCCGCCCGCCGACCTATGTCAAGCACAGTACTCACTGGGGGACAACGGGCGTGGGCACGCGGAGGTGGTGGCCACGCCGAGGCCTCTCCGCGTCACTGTCGCTCGCCTCGTGCCGCCCGCCGACCTATGTCAAGCACAGTACTCACTGGGGGACAACGGGCGTGGGCACGCGGAGGTGGTGGCCACGCCGAGGCCTCTCCGCGTCACTGTCGCTCGCCTCGTGCCGCCCGCCGACCTATGTCAAGCACAGTACTCACTGGGGGACAACGGGCGTGGGCACGCGGAGGTCGTGGCCACGCCGAGGCCTCTCCGCGTCACTGTCGCTCGCCTCGTGCCGCCCGCCGACCTATGGCAAGCACAGTACTCACTGGGGGACAACGGGCGTGGGCACGCGGAGGTGGTGGCCACGCCGAGGCCTCTCCGCGTCACTGTCGCTCGCCTCGTGCCGCCCGCCGACCTATGTCAAGCACAGTATTCACTGGGGGACAACGGGCGTGGGCACGCGGAGGTGGTGGCCACGCCGAGGCCTCTCCGCGTCACTGTCGCTCGCCTCGTGCCGCCCGCCGACCTATGTCAAGCACAGTACTCACTGGGGGACAACGGGCGTGGGCACGCGGAGGTGGTGGCCACGCCGAGGCCTCTCCGCGTCACTGTCGCTCGCCTCGTGCCGCCCGCCGACCTATGTCAAGCACAGTACTCACTGGGGGACAACGGGCGTGGGCACGCGGAGGTGGTGGCCACGCCGAGGCCTCTCCGCGTCACTGTCGCTCGCCTCGTGCCGCCCGCCGACCTATGTCAAGCACAGTACTCACTGGGGGACAACGGGCGTGGGCACGCGGAGGTGGTGGCCACGCCGAGGCCTCTCTGCGTCACTGTCGCTCGCCTCGTGCCGCCCGCCGACCTATGTCAAGCACAGTACTCACTGGGGGACAACGGGCGTGGGCACGCGGAGGTGGTGGCCACGCCTCGTGCCGCCCGCCGACCTATGTCAAGCACAGTACTCACTGGGGGACAACGGGCGTGGGCACGCGGAGGTGGTGGCCACTGTCGCTCACCTCGTGCCGCCCGCCGACCTATGTCAAGCACAGTACTCACTGGGGGACAACGGGCGTGGGCACGCGGAGGTGGTGGCCACGCCGAGGCCTCTCTGCGTCACTGTCGCTCGCCTCTTCGACGCTCGCCGGTACAGTGCCGCCCGCCGACCTATATGAAATACAACACGTAAGTATCTTAAGTGGCTTTACAATAAAATGAGGATCGGGCCCGAATTGGCATACCCTACATCGTTGGTTATTACAAAGATGTCATTAGAATCAAGATAAAATGAAAGTAAGTGCAACAAACAGCCACTTAAATGATCTGATTAAGATTTTCCAGGGTGAGAAAGTAGTGTATGGCTATTATTGGCTATTTATTAAGTTTAAGATTCCTTCCATTGTAATTTAGTTTTCCAGAAACAGTTTAAAAACAACGAGAGTTTTACGACAAAATAAGTGCAGTGCATTATTAGATTTAGATTCGTCTTTAGTTAGGTACTAGACAAAGATAAAAAATGTTATTGTAAAGCTGTGTAAGTAAGTATTTTAATATTATGTAGAGAACAGAAATCAAAATGTTAAAGCTGACAAATAACCAAAACATTTACGAGCTAAAAATACTATCTAATTGCAACACAACACAATTATATAAATTAAAATCATGCAAGGATTATAATTATAAATACAGTGTAGGTAGTGGTGTAATATAATATGCGCGTGCAAACTAGAATATTTTCATTTGATATGCTATTTTAAGTTCCTTGGAATGCCTTGGAAAAATTAAAAGCCCTTTGATATTTTCTACTAAAATAAATCAAGCGTCTAATAATATAATTATTATCTACAAATAAAGGTGAATATAATATTTATTATTATAGTTAGTACCTTCGCATGTTAAGCTGTTAAAAAGCCCGAAGCTACGTCTCGAGTTATTTATTTGTATGCGCCATGCCCACACCTAGAAAATGCCAAGCATTGTTACTTTCTTATAATTTTTCATAAATAAGTAATAAAATTAAATACCTAGTATCCATTTTAAAAACAATGAACATTTAAAAGCAGAAATAAATAAACTCGGCTACACTTTGCTACGCCGTAGCAAAGCTTCCGTGAAATTGGGATAAAAAATCTGGTTGAAAACTATCTAAATCTGAACAAAACAATGAAATTATTAATTAATTGTTTGTTTACGTTAAGATCGTAACAACATTATGTAAATATGTTGAGATCTTATTATTACACTAGCGGACCGTTAGCGATTTCACCCGCTGCTACTGGTTCTCCACCAAAAGGTATTTTCCGCATGTTTTATACATACGTTTCTATTTAATCATTCTATCTATTACAAAAAAAACGCATCAAAAACCTTTGCGTGGTTTAGGAGGAGTAAGCAAATTCAACGATTGACGGACAGAAAACCCAAAAAGAGACTATATTTTATACTACCTTTGTACCTATTGACATAGGTAACAGTTAACTAACCAATGTTTAAAAACTTGAAACCCTATCCTGGATATGATATTGATTTTCAAATTTTTAGAAAGAAATTCCTACACTTTTATATAATCTGAAAATGAAGTCTGATACACAATTTGTATATTTTGTAGGTACGGTGTCTGTTTGATTCCGAAGCTGATCTTAGCGCAGTGGAAGCAAATTAAAGTTATCTTAAAATCTAAAACTAAATGGTCGATCAGCCTCGGAACAACATTTGACTACGATTCGTAGTGCTCTTTACTATAGCTAAATAAAATAAATTTAATGAGAGAATTTTGTTCCGGAAAGTTTCCGGCCGAGAAATTCTTGTTTCCAAAATCTACTTAAACAGGGCCCAGCAACGAATTGCTTACCGAGCGAACGATGACGCCGTTTCTTTGTGAGTTTAAGTATGACAGGAATCAGG